AGAGCCAAAGCAGAGGTTTGTGTGAAAAACTTAACCCTCGAAGAAAAGATTCAGTTTGAAAAGGCAAAGGACGCAGAACTAAACTGCTGGATACAGACAAATGCATTGAAGCCTATTCTAAGACGTCATCTCAATCCCGAACAAATCTTAAAGAGTCGCTGGATACTTACCTGGAAGAATGTCAACGAGGAAGACAGTCAAAAGGCTCAACGAAAGGCAAAAGCACGTTTGGTTGTCCTTGGTTTTCAAGATCCAAAACTCTGTGAAGTGGCTCGTGACTCTCCAACATTGACGCGAGAAGGAAGACACACTGTCCTCCAAACCATTGCTAGTAGAGGCTGGGAATTGTCATCCTTTGACATCAAGACTGCCTTCTTGCGAGGTCAGTCTGCCCAAGACAATCCCCTTGCGATGGAACCACCCACTGAGCTTCGAAAGAAATTGAACTTGACCAACGATCAGGTATGCTCACTGGTTGGAAATGCTTACGGCAGGGTTGATGCTCCTCTATTATTCTACAAAGAGTTTTCCAAACAGCTTCAGAAGTTGCAGTTTAAACGTCATCCACTGGAACCATGTGTATTCATTCTGGAAACCATCAAAGGTGGCTCCCGAACTTTGCATGGTATCATTGGAACTCACGTTGATGATGGAATATGTGGGGGTGACAAGTTTTTCCACCAACAGCTGGAAGCCTTGAAGAAGGTATTACCATTTGGAACTTTCAAACAGCGAAAATTTGTTTTCACAGGTATTTTGCTTGATCAACTTCCTGATGGTAGCATCATGGCCTCTCAAGAAGAATATGTTCGAGGAATCCCAGCCATTGACGTTGGACGTCATCGCCGCCAAACACCAGAATCTACAGTAACTGAAGGTGAACTCAGTAAGCTGCGAGGTTTAATCGGGAGTTTGCAGTATGCCGTTTCTCACACTCGACCAGATATGGCAGCCAAATTAGGGGAAGTACAAGTGCAGGTTTCTAAAGCCACTGTCCAAACCCTATTACTTGCCAATCGTGTTCTCAGAGAAGCTCAAGAACATAGTCATGTGAAACTGTGTTTCCGCAACATTCCAGTGAATCAGTTGACACATGTCAGCTTCGGAGATGCTTCATTTGCAAGTTCAAAACAGCTGGCTTCATTTCAAGGAACAATTGTTTGTGCAACCAACCTTGATTTAGCACAGAACCAGAAAGCACCGCTTAGTCCTCTGACCTGGGTTTCCAAGAAAATTGCACGGGTGGTGAGATCAACACTATCGGCAGAAGCATTCTCGATGTCCAACTCCGTTGACAGACTTGGATGGATGCGTCTACTTTGGGGTACCATTAATATTGACAACTTTGCCTGGAGAGAACCTAAACAAGGATTTCAGCAACTTCCAATGGCCACTATTGTAACAGACTGCAAAAGCCTCTTTGATTTAGTGAGCAGAACTGCCATTCCGTCATGCGAGGAATTCAGAACTACATTAGAAGTTTTGCTTATCCGGGAAAGATGTTTGGAACATAGTCAATTTCGATGGATCCCAACCTCACTGCAAGTGGCAGACGCTTTGACAAAACCAATGGATCCGATTCTATTGCGACAAGTCCTGGCTTCAGGCTGTTTCCAATTACATGATGAAGATGATTCATTGGAACGAAATGCTCACAGAAAGCAAGCTGTTCGCTGGCTTAAAGAACAGAACACAGCCACTCATGGTGTCTCATCAAAAGAGTTTAGAGGAATGTGATTTGTCCTGATACAGCTGAGCTTGATGTGACACTTGTTTGCCAGGGATGTCTTTCATGATTACATGGACCGTGGACATTCGCGTCCCAAAGTGCCAGCGGAGGGTTGAGGTAGTGGATGGCAACTGGGTTGCCGTGTTGGCGCCATAGCTGAGCCGTGTTGCAGGGAAAACACTTGGGAGCTGCGTGTTTGGTATTGGACCGGGATCCGATTTGACTTTGACATATCCTTTTGTGATTTACTAGGTGTTGGGAACACCACCAATCTGCAATTCAGGGAATTGCCGCTGCCAGTGTTGAAAGGGGCTTTCAGCTCTTTCACATCACCTACATATATTTATAGTCACTGTAGTTTTTTTTGTTTGTCCAGGAAATCGTCCACGAGGAATCTTGTCCAGATACTCCGAGGTCTGGGCAAAATAGCCACTGAAATTGGATGAAAAAATTGCTCCATCTAGGATGATTTTGGATGATTTTGGATGATTTGGTTCGTACTATTTCCATGGCGGCTTAAACATTCTTTTCTTGCCGGCTCCCCACATTTCGATGCTTGTCCCATCACAAATGCGCGGAGTCTTCTTTTTTTCAGCACCAAACCGGTGTTCAAATCCAGGATGCAAACGGAGAAGAGGTTTTGGCAGCCTCTGGTTGCTGGTGAGCCACCGAAAAATGGTGAATGGAGGATCATCATCCCCATTGTTTGGAAAGGAAGACATACTATTCGGGTATCTATGGTGTCCTCATAAGATGAGCTGTGCAAAAGATAGCCCTGTGTCAACCAGCTTTCCAGCATCAACCAGGAGCCATGACTTCATCAAGAGAACTTCCTTCACCTATGGTTTCGAAGCCACAAGCGCTGAGCTGCGGTCAAAAAATGAACATTCTAAAGGGACACATTGGTGTGGATGAAACATCGGGTATCCCAAATGTACAGAACATGACCAGAACCTGTGGCAACCCATGGAGCGTTAAATTGACCCAGACCCACATGGACGCCAACGTCTGGCAACTTCAGGCGACAAAATTCTTCGATCATTCATTCCCCTTACAATGACCCCTGTTAAAAAAAAAAAAAAACATTGCTTAGTGATGCTTGGTGCTTGATCATGTTGAAACTGTTCGTTTTCGGTCCCATGTTAGGAGGGCTTATTCTCAAACACATCATGCGTTTATCCAGGTTTTCTCTGATGCTTCAGATTGCTGAAGAAATGGTCTCCTGGAGATAAAAATTCCCCGAGGGTTAGTGATCCCCAGCCCAATAGACTGTTGTGTTTAAGATACTAATCATCAACAAGCACTACAGACTAGGTCGAGGTGAAAGAAGATCTCACTCTATGCAGCCCGCACAATCTGTATTCCGCGGGTCAAACTGGTGTCCGTCACAGCGAATGCGACCACAGTCAATATTTGAGCATGTCTGATCAGGGTAGATGGCCATATGTTTCCCCTGCCAAAATGGACCAAGACACCTTAAGAATGATGCTGCTTCTTTCTGATCTCGGAATACAGTATCCTCTGGCTCTGAACACACTTCATGTTTTGGATATCGCATTTCATAAATACATGTTGAATCATTTGAATGGTATACTAGTATTCCGTAGTATTTCTATATTAATCATATTAATGGATATGATATATGTATATAATATATATATATATCATACGTATACATACGTATGGATAATTAACCCACCTGAAAAGTACGTCCATTTGGGGGTGTTGTTATCCAGTATCAACCATCATTCCAGTGACAGAAAGCGACGTGAGGTCGTGATCAAATTCATCCAGATATCATTTGACCACGGTTGACGGTTACATATCCCATGAGATCTCCGTTCATAGATGTGATATCCATTGAATGTGAATTTTTCATGGATACATCCTCAATACTGTCATCCCCACCCAACAAAATATGTATCTTCCATCTGCTTCCTGCCCTTGCTCCCTGCTGATCTTCGGCAACGGCTGCCGGAAAAAAAAACGCAGTTCATGTTTTCTTTTTGGCGGCTGTAAACCTGGTCCCTTCAGAAAACTTGATGGTCAAAATAGGACAAGGAACACAGAATTCATAAGATATCGGAGAATCACTACTTGGATTCATTTGGATCCATTTATCCATTTGGATCTGGTAGGTCACGTTTTTTTCCAACAACATCCAACAACCCTCTGAAAATTAGGTTTCTTTCCCGCTGTTCGCAACTCCACAAAAAAATCATTGGTTTTTCTCAGTGCAAACCTGGGGATCCAGCAAATCAAGCTGGGTGACATCGCAGGAACACCATTGGTTGCTGATCAGTGCTGTAACCCAGTAGGAAAACCCAAGTTTCGTGCGCAGCCTTTTCTTAACCACGGCCAAGTGGCCAACGCAAATCTGTGGGCAAAATCGTGATTAGCACCAAGTATCACCAGGCAAAACACCAATTCTCCCAGCACAGGTGGTTTCCAGTCGATCAAATCAGATGCTGTCGAATTGTCATAGGGACTATTGAAGACTATTGGACCAAACCAGGCTTGATGACACCATGACAGCTCTATGAAAAAAAAGATGGCTGCAAACCATGGACCCCTGCAATATCGGATCCATTGGACCAATGATCCAAGTCCTGGACCGGTCAAGTACTGACCTGGTGACTTGGATTTGCCCTGGAAGATCTACCATAGCCATGGAAAATCACCATGCTATTAATAGGTAAACCATCTATTTCTATGGGCCATCTATACCATGGCTATGTTAGTCATAACCAGAGGGTACATGTACACAGTGCATTTGGCACCTTGGATGTGGCCTGCCAAGATTTGTTTGATGTCGCTACCAGTAGCATGGAAGATGCCTGACACAGGCCGTACTGTTGTTGATTGCGCCAAGGAAAGATGGACACTTTCACTCGAGGTGGTTTTAACCCATGACCCAAAATAGTAGTTCATTTTGTTATATTTTGTTCATGATGTTTTCAATAGTCTATTCAGGGTGAAAAACGGAATATAAAACGTCTTTAAAGTTTGAAAAAAAACTTTTTGATAAAGGAACGTTGTTATGCAGCATGTCCCATCCTTTCTTGAGAAGTACTGCTGGTATACTGTGATGACAAACAGTCAACATCCAACATATCATCCTACAAAGTGCAGCAAACCTGGGCTTTAGAAGGTTGTATCAGTTGTATCACCATGGGAAACCTCGCCTTTTTGAGTCACTCAACCCCCCAAAAAAGGATGGTTTCAGATGACCCAGCCATTGGTTGGGTCCAAACAGGTACCCCTGGCTCCCCATAGACACATCGTTTTATAACAACTCTTGGCAACTCCGAAAAAGCTCCGCGGCGCTACTCGGATTCATGGCATGCCAGAGGAGGGTCGTTCAGCTCGTTGAATGCAGAGAACTGGGACAGTTCCACCTGACATTTCTTCGCCGTGACACCAGAGACTGCACGCCGATGGGTCCCAATCGGTGAGTTTTTTTTCCTGGGGATATGACTACAACTGCAACTCCAAACCGTTTGAGAAGGGATGATAGTTTCTAGAAGTGGATCTAGGATTCAGTTGAAACTATCTATAAATCCATAAACTGAAGCTAACTGGTAGCTGAGTCTTAGGATTCTGGGGCTCCATGTGGAACTGCTGCCCATCATGGTGAGATTTCCCCTTCATAGCCAGAGTTGGAGCATGATGAATGGGATAGGCATGGCCTCAAGAAAAAAACCGGCACCTGACAACTGCAGGATTTCAAGTTCATTCAAATGCAAACCATTCATATAGACCTGTGCCATGTAGACGGACAAAGTCCGAGTAGGAAGTGATGCCACCCAACTGTCCTAGTCACATCGATCGATGATGAGAGAAGTATCACAACATACGAGTATCACAACTGTTGGCACCTGAAGGTGAAAAGAGTAGGACCCGTTTTCAGATTTCCATAAATAATCCGAATGTTAAATCCCAAAAAATTGTCCAATATTTTGTTGGCAAACTGTTGCCACGACTTTCTTTTTTTGCTGGTTAGATCCACAGTTTTGAGATGATTTTGTGCATTCCATGATTTCATCCTCAGTTGGTTTATCCAAATCGAAGAGTAATGAAATCTAGGGGCACACGGTCACGCAAGCCCCATGGCCAATAGGTCTCTAAGAAACCCCATAAACCTTGTTGATGAGCCCCAAGAATCAGGATTGATAGGGATCAGTGACCCCTTAAGAAACCAGTTCTGCTTCAATGCCCCCGGGGACCTCCATAAATTTGATGCTAACTATCATCATTCATTTCATGGCACTTTACGGCCATCAATTGGGCTATTGCTATTCCATAATATTCCAAAAAAAAATCCGGACACATCACATTCAGATTCTGGAAGTAGTGACCCCTTGGTAAATGAACATAGTGAAATCATAGACCCCTTGGTAAAATCACCACCTAAATTTGGTGGAGATCTTCCAACCCCCTTTTCCCGAGCCGAGCCGCCAAGGCCACGAACTTGGAATCGGCCACCGCACTGGGCGACAAGTCGTAGCAACCAACAAGCGGAGGGTTAAGCCAGAAGGCCATAGGGAGCCCTACTGTGCCAGTGATGTTGACCTTTTTGCAATCAAAGATGAATGGAACATATCCTAGCTGAAAAAGCATCAATGGTCATGCATGCCCTGGATTTTTCCGCCAGCCAAAAAAGATGGTGGTTTGGATGAGATTCTGGTCCCAGGCCGCAGGATGAGGAAGCCCTAGCCCAGTCGTCAACCGCTTTTTCTCGATCTTATTGTTGGCATTCAGAAATCTTGGATGAATCAGGCATAGAACTGAAATATTTGTTAAGAAATCTTGAATCAGTTATGGACAATGGAACTGAGATATTTGTTTGTGTGTGTGTGTTCCTATTTTGTACAACACTGTTTGGGTACCCTCAGAATCGTAGAACACCCTTGTGAACGTCAATTAGTACATAGCTTGCAAGTGGATCATCATCCTAGATGGCTTTTGACCCATACCCTTACTACCTGGATAAAGTAAGTAATTACAACAATTCATTAACCAAAAAAAACTGAAAATACTAAAAAGTTCAGCATAGTTCAGCAATTTTGGGATAATCAACCCTACTGACTCCTAACCATCATTCCAGTGACATTGCAGTGAGGTCATTATGATTTATCATGATTTATCTAGATATCATTACAATAGTTGGTTATATATCCCATGATATTTCCATTGATATCCAGTTGTAGATCCCGATTCTTGATGGTCAAAAGTCTAACTAACTCCACCACAGTCTTCTGCGCCTAAAGAATCTCGGCCAGTTTTTGCCTTTCACAGCTTCCAATCACATGCCATGGGTGTCCTTCTGATGTCCGATAATGATTGACCATCAACAATGGTGATGAAAACATGATGGTACGAGTATAGTGAGCATAGTGGGGATAGATTGGAATATGGGGAAACATCTGGCATGCCATGGTGGCAGTTTCAGGCATTTGCAGCAATCACCGAAGCTTGCATGGGTGCTGCAAATTTGAGGGTGACTCCATGATGAAATTGCAATTCAGGGACTGAAGGACAACACAGGGGAATGACTTGTGTTGAACAAGACCCAGAATCCTCTGACACGGCAGACTTGTAGGAAGAATCATGTCAACGAATGTAAACATGAAAATTGAAGGAGATTCCCAAGCGCCAAACCATATTTGATACCTGAATTGGTTCCGAACTATAAGCAACCTTTGTCAAAATGCAAACCCGTATGGATAGCGACAGAAGGAATAAACCCGATGCCAACAAAATACTATGCTCCAAATGATATTATGTCCATGAGCGGCGATGAAATAACAAGTAGTAACAAACGTAAGATGACCTACAAAAAAGCCACCGAATGCACGCAACTAGATAGTGTACACCCAATTCATCAATTCCAATGGCTTATCATCATTATACCGCCAAATCCACTGAACCATCATTTTCCCCATTCAACATCGCCAATTTGGGGGTCATGTCAACCCTGGATTAATAAACCTCTAGGCTGTTCAATTGGGGAGGGTACCAATTGAAGTATCATATTATCACATATTATCCCTGTTTGGAGGGTACCCTCATAGTTCATATTATATCATATCATCATATTATCACTGTATTGTTTGAAGTTCATAAACCCACAATGTTCATAAACCAAATTCAATAAGTTACTCCGAGTGATGACCAAATTATCATATTAATCATATACTATAACATACTATAACCCCTCAATTTCACAAACCAAGTTGAATTCATATATTATCACTGTATTGTTTGAAGTTCATAAACCCACAATGTTCATAAACCAAGTTTTATTCATTCGGGGTTAACATTGTAGCCCACTTTCAGACACCCCGCGGTGCTGCCAAAACCCGAGGTACACAAGGACTCGCTGATGGCATAAGCCATGGCAGCCCAGCACGATGCGTTCAGGGCGGTGAAACCTGGGTTATGGGTACCCGTTTTGTCATAGCTGGTTAATGGATGGTAAACTAACATAACTATGGAAAATCACCGTTTTTAATGGGAAAACTCACTATAAATGGCCATTTTCAATAGCTATGTTAAATTACCAGAGGGTAGCTGGTTAATGGATGGTTGTTCTTCGCCCCAATATGGTGAGGATTTAATAATAGGTTTTGTCCCTCAAGCAGGAAAGTAGGGTATCCCCAATTTTCTATGTATTTGTTTGTCCCTTTGGTTTTTAGCCGAAAATATTCCGGGGTTTTAACCGTACATCTTACATGTTTCATGCGGCATGTTTCCATTCTCCCAGGCAAGTTGCAAATCTCCAAAAACCTTGGGAAATGATCTTCATCCTCGCGCCCCAGCCAGTATCGCTATCCACAATGTGGGAACACCCTGGCTGCCATAAACCTATAAAACATTGGGAATGGTTGGAATCCCACCTATAAAAATGGTGATGACTTGGGGATGGGTTATGAAACTGTGTTCACCACATTAATACTTTTTGGTGGATTTGTTATTTTTTTCAGTGAGCCCATGCAAGTATGTGCTCGTTTAAGGCCAACATTCCATGTAGGAGTAACTGCCAGTGGCACGATACAGCAATGTTGTCATCACCCGTCCTGGATCCTTCTCAAATACATCAACGCCACTCCACAGAACACAAGCCATTTGGCAACCTTGGCTGCAGCGGCAACACGTTCCTTTGGTGAATTCCATGGACTGCTAGTGACTATCAGATTTCTTTTGCCACAAAAGAAACCATGAATCTAGAAGAGTGGGAGGAAAACAGGGGTGTCAAGTGTCAACGCATTGATTTCAATGGATTTATTTGACTGTGTGTGCGGGTAGCATGATGTACGTGAATACGAAACCCATACATGTAATATCAGATAATTACGCAATTAATATGATATATAAATTATAACATAATTATACATAATCGCAATTCATTTATGCATTCAGTAACCCAGAATGACAATCCCATAGGATCCATGTATGCTATATATGGTAACATTTACCATCAATATACCCCCAATGTTAGCATATATACCATACATGGATCCTATGGGAATATGCAATTTATACAAATATGTAACACACAGACACATACACCTGCAGGCCGTCAGCCAGAAGAGACATCTCAAAAACTCGGGGCCGTTTTTTGGTCCAAGGGTGTCAATCCGATGCCCCTACTAACATACCCATCCTATGGTCATATGGGGATGGGTCAAAACCCTGGTACCTAGTGCACCCCAAAATAGCTGGTAAATGGATGTTCATCCCACTAAAAATGTATCTATAGGTATTGACCCATACCCATATGTGTAAATCAACGTAAATCCCATGAAATCCCCGACTAAACCATTGTGGATGGGATGTGTCCCCGATTCCGTTGAGATCTTCGTTGGAGGTCACATTGGAGGTCTTAGGGACTCCCTTGGGACATTGATCAACCCACTTTGAAGCAACAGAAAGATCTTGCGCATGGCCGCAAGATCAAATCCTCACAATCACTTGCCAATGTGTTGAACATCGGCCCTCAAAGGCCTTCCTACACATGCTTCTAGACTTCTAGTTGTCTTTGATAATCATTGAATATATATTTTTTTGTATATATATATATAAGTATTCAATATATATATAATATGTATGTATATATATAAGTATTCAATATATATATATGTATATATATAAGTATACAATATTATATATATATTATAATGATTTGGCTGCTTCCGGGTACCCAGTGCGAGACGCGATACTGCCACGGCCACCTGTGGGTCGTAGAATTTTCTTTTACATCGTAAAGCATGGACTTAACCAAAATCCACCTACCATTGCGAGATCCTTCTATATGCTTGCCCTCTGGTATTGGAAAAACCCATGAAACATTTTCCGTTCCAAGGCACTACCCAGGAGAAGCCTTGGACTTGCAGCACCTCGACGGCTCAAAAGATCTGGGGATGAGGGATAGCCCCCAAAAAGGGGCCCAGGCTGAGGCGCTATTCTATTTGGACAAAAGATCCAAACATATTTTGGTCCCTGAGTCCCTGGATGCCAAGAAAGGTCCAAATCATCCCACAATTCGAGCTGTACGAGATATTTTACGATTCTGTTTACCACAGGGAAAATTCACCCAACAAAAACACCATAGACATGGAAACACCCATTTTTTTTTCCTTGGAAGATATGGAGGATTCTGACTCCCACACACTCAAGGCTGAGCTATTGGTTGCTCACTCCATCTCACACCCGTTCAGCTGCCAAGTGGAGAAGTCGAAATGCACCAAAGTGCAAAATCACATGGATTTTGGTGTTTCTTAAGCTGTGAACCATCCAATAACTTAGGCAAGTCCAAAATCCAGCAGCCAGTCCGTTGATTTCAGAAGGCTACAGCGGGACTTAAGGAGCTTCCCATGCTGAAATTCTGGATAATCAGATTGGACACAATAAAAAATGCCTAATGTGGCTGGTGGTGTTCAACCCATGCAAAAAATACTCAAGAATTTGGAATGTCAGCCCCAGGTGGGTTGAAAATTCAACATTTGAAACCACCCACCAGTGAAATATTCCACATCCCAATGCGGCGAACCTCAAGGTCTTCAAACTGTCTTGAACCTTTAGAGATTGGCGAGGTCTCCGCGAGGTCTCAAATTTAATGGGAGAAAACATATCCAGGAGGCCCATGGGAATTTTAAGATCCCCCAAACACCGAGTTAGGACTCAACTGACTGGGAACATTCCTGGCTGGATATGTTGAGGTTTCCTAAAATGGGGGGTACCCCCAAATCATCCAAATTTAGACCCTTTTAGTATTGAAACCCATGCTTTTGGCGATTCCCCATTTTAATAACCTCCATTATATACAAAATGCTGAGAGACTTAACCAAGTCCGGGTCTTAGACATAATGTGTTTCCACTGCATCTGAAATAGCTGAAAAAGGAACAACTTGTCCATGGCAATTGAGTCATCCACTGTGTTTGACCGGTTTGCTCATGCAAACCACCCAATAATGTGGTCAACCCAAAACATCCCAAAACCATAAACATTCCCCCAATTTGACCAGGAATGGGTTGGATCTAAATTTCTAAATCATTCCCAATTGAAGCCATGGCTTCAAGGGTTTAACGTGTGAAAGGATTTGCAACCCCAAAGGCCGCTAAAAAATCGCTCTCAAATCCCATGTAAATCTAAGTTTCAATGTAAATCCATGTAATTCCCGTGCACGTTTCCATGTAAATCCTATTTAAAGATGTAAATCCCCATGGTAAATCTCAATCTGTGTTAGTAAAATCCCGATTTTCGCTTGGGTGAAATACCCTGGTGTTCCATTTTGCCATCCCACTGCGCCGAGGAGCCGAGAATGGGACCACTTTCCAAGCCATCTGCGGTCACGTGCACTTGACAGCAACAGTAGCCCTGTGAAACAACAGCGTCCGCGTCATCGAAATGTCAAAAAATCACCTGGAAAAACGGGATTTTAAGTGGATGAATGCTGGTATTGTTTGGGGACTTAACCATGAAAAATGCTGACTGAACCATCAAACATGGGAAATAGAACCAACAAAATTAGGTGATATTCGTGGCTTTATCCGAAACGTCCTCCTTCCGTTCGAATATGGTTAAGTATACCAAGGAATTCCACGCAATGGAGTCTGACAATCCCCAAGTGCGTCACTGGTACAGTACAGTAAATACAAGCCCCTACAATCATCGACCAAGCATCATCTATCATCTACAGTACCCTCTGGTTATTTGTTACATAGCTATTGAAAGATCCACCATTTTTAATGGGTAAATCAACTATTTCTATGGGCCATTTTCAATAGCTTTTTGTATGTTTACCAGAGGGTATCTCCAACAATGTTGATGGTATTGAGGTCGGAAGGGGGCTATTGCCGCTATGGTCATCCCATCACAATCCGAATCCATGGACCCATCGAGAAATGGGGTGACCAGAAAGACCATCCAATCTCTGGACAACAACATGAAAATAATTATAGAATCACAAAAATAGAGAAATATCACCATGGCACATATATATACATATATAATATATATATATATATATAGCCTCTGGTTATGACTGTTACATAGCCATGGAACATCACCATGCTATTAATAGGTAAACCGGTAAACCCGGTAAACCGTCTATTTCTATGGGCCCATACCATGGCGAACTGTTAGTCATAACCAGGTTGGGTAATCCATTGAATCCATGGAATTTTTTCTCGCTCCGTAGCGGCTCCTTCAGGATCCCACAATCTTGCGATCCGTCCTCGGTCGACCAAGTTCCGCCCATATTCATAT